CTCTGCAATTTGTTTTTTTAGATAATTGCTTTATATGCCTAAAGCTCCGATCAAGATGCAATAGACATTGAGTTCTTGAACGTCATGACTTCATTCTGTCATTTGAACTATGTTATGTGGTTTCTGGAGCAAGTATTGAAGGTGCCAGATATTATCCCCAAATGCACTGTTCATTGTTTATTCTTGTTCAAGCCATGATAAGTTGACCTTCTTCGTTAGAACATAAATGATTCAGATTACTTTATTGTTTCTCTGTTTGCTTCTTCTCGCCTTCTAAAGTGGCATGTGGATAGGGTTGGAGTTATGGCGTAAGTCTGCATTTCTGTTTGAATGCATTTTGAAGCCTATGTCTCTGTTGTCCTTTATATTAATACTTGGTTAGAAATATGATTCATTGCTTTTTCGCACTCTAGTAGGGTTGTTTGGAAGGTCATTTTTCGTTTAAGTTGCTTATCGCGTGCTGATGATGTCGAATTTGCTTGTGGCTAAATTAAATTATCTCAGGTTTGGGACAGAAAAGAGAGAATATTTTGATTTAGAAAGAGAGATGCTGGTTGTTGTTAAATTTTCCCGCAAGCCAGTTGGTTTAACTTTGAAGGCGTAGCAGGAGTTGCAGTCTGTAGAGTTGAGCTTAAGTGCTTTTAAAGTATTTTAAATACAAACTTAAATGTTATAAACTTCACCATTGCTCTGAACTTTTTGTCCTCTGCAGGAACAGATGCTTGATCAAGAGAAAACGTGCAATCTATTGCAAAGTTAAGAACATCTTTTAAATGCTTTTGTTTTAGCTGTTGAACATAATGCTTCCCCACTTATGATCTCTGTAAATCAGATAGGTACATGACTGTGGTTCTAGTTAGATTCACTCATCATCTCGAGATGAGACTAGTAAATATATGTTTTTTTTAGTATAAGTGGAGATGGGAGATTCGAACCAATAACCTCTTGATCTGATATAGGTGTCAATTACCCCCAAGCTAAGCACATATTGACGATTAACAAACGTTGAATGACCTTTAAACATATTTTTTTTCCCATTTAGTTACATATTTTTTTCCCATTTAGTTCAGTACCCAGTTTTAAAACATTATTGTCTTGATTCACAGTGAAAAAAGAAAGGATACATTGCCTTTGTATTAGTTAACATTCTTGTCAAACTTCTCCAAGGGAGTTGAATAATTAGAAATAAGAGACCTTTAGATGATTGATACCATCAACTTGTGCTACGAAGCATGGATATGGACACGACACGAACATGTCATTTTCTAAAAATCTCGGACACGAACACGACAAAGACACGTTTATTATAATATACAATTTTTTTTATGTATATATCATTTTTATACCAGAAGTAAATTCATTTGCATTTTTATGCTTAAAAAAATGACTTTGATGTATTTTGTTATCAAAATATATTATTTTATCCTGTATTACTTTTTAGGTCTATTCTCATGCTTAACAAGTGTTGTTTCACATTTGTCTAACAAGTGTCGGATCAATATTTACTTTATACAAATAGTGTCTCACACACATCTATTGAACTAACAAATGTATGATCTAATTCGTGTCAATTAAGTGTTAGAGTGATCCATAGGTTACCCAAACTAAAGTACCTGTGCCTCTTAGTGCTTTATGTTACCACAAATCTGGCATTGCCCAGTTTGGCAATTAAGTTGCATAAAGATTTCTGTTCTCTATACTCTAAAGGTAGGGAAGCTGTGGAGAAGAACAGAGGAGTAGTTGGCTTGAAGCCTACGAGGGCCCCATTAGAGCCCCAACTGGAAGGCACTTCTTCTGAACCTCAATCCACGTGGAGCTATGTTAATGGCAGTGCACAAATTGGGGATGGTTTTGGTGAGTTTCAAGTTTATAGTGCCAAACCACCTCATTTTGCTGTTTATTTAGGCAATAATGCAAACGGTTCATCTTCCTTATAATGACTTCCTTTGGCCCTTTTACTTTTAGACTCTTCTTTGTTTGGTGGAATGTTTTATCATGACCAACCACAGCTAAAGTTCAAACTTCACCAACATGTCTTCACCAACATGTCTAAGTTGCAAGAGTTCAACCGTGAGAATTGGGTTAGTTTATAATTTTCGTTCAAGATTTAAATTCTCGAATCCTATTTGTATCTTCGTAGAAACGAAAAGTTCACCTGGATCTGTGATAATATCTCCAACAAGATTTAACGAACAAGTCTTGCTTTTACATGAGATTGTCATTTTAATTCCTCCAATTTCACAGCTAATTTCTTCATTGACATATATTTTGGAAGGTTTAGTAGACTTGAAGCATTCATTATATATCATGCCACCCCATGGCATAATTGTACAAACTTTAAATTATGGTGTTTTAAGCCCATAGCCATGGCATCTTTTCAATCACTTTCTCAAGTCATTATAATCCCATAGACTTTATACCACACCAACCGCAAAATTGTGATCCCAAGGAAATGGCAGAAAAACTATCATTGTCTGCACAAACAAGATCTAGCCAGCTTTCACATGCATTTCTTCATTTGCACACAACCTACCATTTGACTCATGTGAAGGRAGTTTGATAAAAAATACATGAAAAGTAAAGTAATTGACCTGCTTGGATATATGCATAATTTACTTCATTAAGCTATGTATTCCAACAACTTAACAGAAAGAAATGGTTTCTTGAAGATATGGTCATCTCAGCCAGTTAAAGGCAAGAACTCATAAATGTTACGTCATTCATTACAAGTGTTCCAAAAATACTGTTAATCTCAATGCTATACTTTAATGGTCTTTATAATGTAAAGAAATACTATTTTATTTTTTAACATTTGAACCCACTATAAGGTTTAATTTTGAACTATTAGACTAAATTCAAATCCTCTCCATGTAAATAACTAATTTAGAGTAGAAAGTACTTGTCAAAAGTAGGAAAATACTTAAGTCCTCACGTTAAGATCTATCTCTATGTTGGCACTTCTTCCGGAGCTAGCGAGCCTCGGAGGGGYGGACACTACTAACCAAACCACCACTGTTAAAAAACTGACAAGTTTTTACATTTCTCTCTTAATTGTCAAATATTTAACCAAATAGGTTATCTATTTTGCCCAAAAAGATATTAGGTAAAAAGTATGAGTTAAGTTATCACCACACTACCAAAATTATTTGCACTAAGACCAAAATTTACTGACTCTCCTAACAACAACAGCTCCCCCTTTTTCCCATTATATATATTCAAAACCTTCAATCCTCTGTTTCCATCTGGAAATCCCTGTGTAGTGTGTAGCCCTCTCTACTCTAACGCACACCACTTCACTTGTTGAATCAATTACCTTCAATGGCGAGCTTCCATGCCGGAGTTGTTTGCCTTCTGGTTCTTGGCTTCTCCATGGTGGAGCCGAATGCGGCCACGGTTTACACCGTCGGAGACACTTCCGGTTGGGGCCTCGGCGTTGATTATAGCACATGGACTTCCGGGAAGACCTTCCTTGTTGGCGATAAACTTGGTTTGCTCATATTTCATCTATTTTTTTTCTCATGGGAATAACGTCGAACACCTTGCGTGCATTTGTATTTGGTCATATTATTCTATTTTTCTCTTGTGGGAATAACGTCGAACACCTTTCGTGCATTCGTATTTACTTAAATTCCCTCTTCAAATTTCTTCGTAACAGCGTTCAGCTATGCCGGAGGGCACACGGTGGACGAAGTAACTGCCAGTGATTACAAAGCCTGCACCGCCGGAAACTCCATAACTTCAGATAGTTCAGGCTCCACCACCATCACCTTAAAGACCGCCGGAACTCACTACTTCATTTGCAGCGCCATGGGGCACTGCGATGGCGGCATGAAGCTCTCTGTCACAGTCGCCGCCGGAGGATCTCCCACTTCTCCATCTTCAGGGGGAGGCAGCTCCTCCACCCCGGCGTCGCCGGCAAGTGACACGCCTTCAGCCACCGGGACCACACCGGCGGCGACCACGCCGACGACAAAGCTTCCTGCTGGTTCGCCGAATTCAGCGCTGTCTCTTCTCCCCAAATTCTACGTCGCCGTTGTGGYGATTTTGGTGGGTTCATGGGCGTTGGCTATGCATTATTGAGGATTTGAATTCGGTAAAGGCATRTAGATATATAGATATTATGTGGTGGCCGGCGCTGGTTTTGGCCGGGATAGAGGCAGTGCGATTTCGCTTTCTCATTTGTTTTATATATGATTGGTCGCTTCGGTTGGTCTATTTTTCACATCGTTTCGTTGTTAGAATTTTTAATTTAATTTTGTCTCTTTTTCCCTCAAAATTCAACAATTTCCTTTCAGCTTGCTATTGGTCTGTGCTAATACTATGTAAAAATAAAATATTATTTTCCCCTCTTTTTTAAGGTTAAATAAATAAAATATTATTTTTAGGGTTAGGTCATAAATTTTTTAGGACGGTATCTAATAAATTTTTCAACTTTGAAAAGTTTTTAATAAATTCATAAATTTCCAAGTTTATGAGTGGTGTCTAATAATTTTTTTCGACTTTGAAAAGTTTTAAATAAATTTATGAATTTTCAATCAACGTCTTAAATAAATTTATGAATAATTTTCAATATTGTGGTAGGTATCTCAATTTTTTATTTTGGATTCAATAGACCTTTAGACTTTGGCTTGAAACAAATTAGGAATACGTGAGTTTAATCCTTCGATGTTTATTGAAGGGAGTGAAATGGTAGTTACTAATTATTGTTGAACTAGGTTGATATTAACTTTTCAAATAAATTTTGGAAAATATTGACTTTTCAAMTAAATTCTGGAAATTACAAAAGTAAGGTGTTCTTTAATATTTGAAAAATACTTAACATTATAAAATCTTGTCATGAATGTAGACCACGTATTAATATAAATATATTATTGAACTATTTTATAGATCGACTAAAGTGATATGTAATTTAATGGATTTATGGACTTCCACATTTATTAAGATGAATACTCAAGAGAAGAGTTTTGATTTGTTTAGTTGAAGTACTTTTGAGTTTGATATTAGTATAACACGATTGAACTCAAATTTGATTATTTTTCATCGACAGTTATTGATTCTAATAATTTAATAGGCATAATATTGAAGAAATTGCTTTTGCTAGCGATTCTATAATTTAACATAAGTTCTCACCTTTACCCTGCTATTAAAACTAACCGTAGAAAAATAACTAAAAGATACTTTAGATCTATTTCATCCATCCAACAGCAGCAAAAATTTAAAATATTAGTCACAAAAATAAAAGGTGAAAACAAAATACTAATAAATAAAAAAGAAATGGACAGAAGAAAAGTTTGGGTAGAAAAAGAAAGAAAAAACCTTCAAAACGTGAAAAATCCCTCAGAAAATAGAATTTATGATGGGCCATTGGGCCCAGGGCCCAAAAAAGGAGTGGGCCCAAAGGCAACACAGGTTGGCGTTTTTTCTTTTGAAAAAGACGAAGGTACTGTGGAAATGCACATGGGGAAAGCGTAGGAGCGCACAAAGCGACAGCCTACAAATCCCTTTGGGTTTGTTCCCTAAAATACCAAATTTTGGAAAAGACGGATCAATCCCTCCCCCCTTAGGGCTGGCCATCACCAGCTGTCTCCTACTCCATTATCATCATCATCATCTTACACAATATTATTTCCAAAACATTAAAAATTTTACAGTTCAGTTTCTGTACCTTCGCCGCCGTAGCGCCGCCGCTGTCGTCTCTCCGATGCGCGGAAATTCAGTCATCGGAGGAAGAACAGAGATCCGGCATAAAATGAGATCTAATTAGTACTGATAAGAGTGAAGAAGCAAAGCAATCGACTCAACCACAGTAAAATGTAAATGTAAAACCAAGAAATCCAAATAAATAACAATGATAATCATAGCGCTACGCTTGCGGTTGCGGCCACCGCCTATCCTCTCGGATCCTAAGTACACCAAAAATAAGAGTAAATAAAAAATATACTAAGAGAGAACTACATCAACGACTAATGCCGATATGAAACCCTAAGATCTGCGTCTCCGGAGGAGAGCGAAGATGAGGACGGACCGATCGTGTTTAAAGAAGTAGAGCCGAGGAAATTACAGCCGCGATGATAGATCCGGTGCCGGCGACTCTGTTCAAGGCAGCGCCATTGCCGGGAGTAGAGGCTGGCGACGGAGCCTGTGACGGAGGGTTTGCGATCGAAGTTTCAGGAGTCGGAGTGGACGCTGGTGAATCTGAAGGAGCTGTAGGAGGAGCAGGTGGAGAAGAAGCCGGCGCCGAAGCTGGTGGTGAAGTTCCAGTGGAAGGAGCGGGAGAGACGCCCGCCGGAGCAGGAGATGAAGACGGTGTCGACGCTGGAGGAGTCGCTACTGCAGTCGGAGGAGCCGCTTTCGGCGACGACGCCGGAGGCGGTTTGGTTGGAGAGGAAGCCGGAGCGGCGCCCGGAGCCTGGCCCAAGGAGCCGGCGACCAAGGCGAATAGCACGAAGAACACGAAAGCGGAGGAAGCCATGGCGGTGAAAAATGCGCAGCGAAGAGAGGAGAATGGAAGAAGAAGATCGGAAGGAAGTTGCAGAGCTTGAAGTTGAAGATGAGGGATTTAAGGGTTCTATGGCTTTATAAATATATATACACACGCGCGTCGACGCGCGTGAATTCTCGAGGGAGACTGAGGAGTCGCCGCGTTTGTCAAAGTTAGTTTGACGGTGTTAAGACCTGTCGAAAGGGTTTCTGTTTCAACTTTCAACTTCAGGGGCCGTTTGATGATCACAATTCACAACCCTATAAACTATAAACTTAACGGTAACGGACGACTTACGAAGTTCCCATCTTAATTTTATGAGATTTTCTTTCTATTTCTTGTTACAATATTTTACTAAAAAGAATGCAATTTAGTAATCGAAGAAATACCATAGGTTAAATGAGATTAAGTTACTCCATCAGAATATAAATCAATGGATCATATATCCTTAAGTTTAGAACTAATTTTTTCTTATAAACAATAAATTATTAAACTTTTAAAACTTTTAATAAAACACGTAGTAGTAAAGATTCGAACTCAATTRGGGATAAATACCTTAACCAATTGACTTAAACTCAGGTTGATTATCTATATTATTTTTGTACTTTGAAAACATTCTTTAATAAATTTTCAAATTTGTATTTTTAGGTCTCTTCGATAACAGAGAGCAATTTGAATGTAGTTCAGCTGGTTAAGACACCTATTTTTTATAAAAAAATTTACGAGTTTGAATCTTTATCGCTACATGTTGTACTAAAAAAACATGAACACAACTTAATTAGTGTTAAAGAAATTTATTTATTTCTGCGGTTCAAATCTCCACACCTCAAATGTGGTGGATTAATTTCTAGCGTGTTCAAACATTTGGTAGCCACAAGATTAACTTTTAAAAGTCCAAGTACCAATTAATTTTTTTAAGGCACAACTCTAAAAGTTCAAGATTTATTAGAAATCTCAAAGCTACGTAAACTAATAGACCTAATATAATGCTGGACTAAACTTACCATTTAACCAAAATTATATAAATTATAAATTATAAATTAAATAACAAAGGGAAAGTCATTTTAGGATAAATATGAGCAACACTCCAAAGTTGACATGTACAAGCAAATGATCGACGATTCCATGGCCATTTTTTATAGTGAGAAATTCTTTATTTAAAATATTATATATATTTTACACTTGTTTCAACTTGTCAGAAGACAAAGTTTTGTTAGGGAAAAGAAAATGAACAAGTCACTAAGAAAGATTTTACACTAGTGAGATTATAATGAAAAAAAAAGTTTACTTCTTTAAATATAGAATATTAAAATAATGTAGATCCAATCCAAATATCTATTTCCAGACAAAATTTCGCATGTAGTATTATTAAAATATAAGAATGTCCTTTGCAAATAGACTTTGGTCGTCGTATTAATGTGTATTATTTTATTTTGTTTTAATTTGTAACTTATTATATGGCCGTGATTAAATAAATTATTTATAAGATTAGTGCCTCCTCAATTATGATAACAAGTAAAAAGAATTAGTGGAGATGATCTAAGTATGATCGCCTAGTTTAGATAAAAATAATAAAATCTATTTTAGTGTCTAGCACAAACTATGACTATTACTATCTAATTGATTTAATTTTCTTTTTAGTGTTTAAATCTTGCTCATTATAGATTATTCATTTCTGGATAAGGTAATAAATCTATTCCAAATTGATATTTTTCAACCTATATTTAGGTCAACATAGCTAAATAATTTATCGTGCTCAATTTTTATTACTTCTCAACAAGTTTTAATAAGAAAATATTTAGTATATTTCGAAAGTAGAAAAACCAAACTGCAACTCAAAAGCATATAAATTGAGTCAATTCAAACCTAGTTGGGTGAATAAAGCAGGAATTCTCTTGAAATTGAATGGTTTTAACCTAGAGTTAATAACACGTTATTTTTATATGGTAAAATTGAATTTACCAAGAGGAATTGTTCCCAAATATAATGTTGAGGCAACAAGGAACAGTGGAATTCTTGGCAAAATAATTTCATCATTTACCCACAGGATTGTCCCACCATTAATCCACAAATATTCTTGAGATCACCCCCACTTCCTCCTTGTGCTTGGAGCACTAGGACAAAGAATAAGAAGAAGAAGAATCCAACGGACTCACTGCTTAGAAATTAACATACAGTTTATTCAAATTAGCATCGAGATGAACACCAAGGATCATTTATATTTTTACTCGGATTAGTGTTCTATTCGGCTCCTAAGTTTCAAAAATTGATAGTTTAGACCCATCTTTAAAAAATGCTTCTAAATAATCACTCATAACAAACTACTGTTTCTGTTTTAACCCTAGCTTATTTTCATCGACTATTTAAAATTATTTTCTAAGCAGTCGAGAGAACTATCTACATTCTAAAGTGTAATTTTTTTTATATTTTTATTACTCATATAATACAAAGTTCTATAATATGTGTGGTTCAACACATAGTGAAGTAAATCTTGCCTGAGCAGTACTAATTTTATTTTTCCTTCTAGAATTGCATCACATCCCCATGTAGGTAATCTAAATCTTTTGCTTGTGCTTGATTAGTGAAAATCTTGTGAGCAGAAATCCGTTGGAAGGTGACTCATGGGACAGTTCTAACACCTAAAGTAATGAACTAGATTCCTACATCAGACCAAATAGTTATAGGGGAAAAAAGAGGAATGAGAATTAGAATCAGGATATCGAACAATCAAAGTAATCCGGAACCACCATATGAACCATGATATTCAAGGATCGAAATTAGACTTAAACTTATATGTCAGCTCAAAAATCTATAAATAAAAAATTAAAAGTTGAAAAATTAATTAGATACTTAAGTCCAGGATGTCAACGTGAGTTTAGCTTAGCGATAATTGACACCTATCTTTGATCAAGAGGTCATGAGTTCGAATCACTCACTCCACTTATTCTATTTAAAAAAAAAAAAGAGTCCAGAAATCGATTAGACACGACCTTTGAAAGTTCATGAACCAAATTTATAATAGTTGACCAATAAGCCAAGACCAATGTAAATAATAAATAATTTAAAATGAATGAGTTCAAACCATGGTGGCTACATATCTAGAATTTAATAACTAAAGATAGTGGTTTCGGGCGGTGAAGGCATATATGTATAAATTAACCAATAAAATCTTTATAATATACACAGGCTTCAATAATTCTATGCCTCCAAGAGTAAGAAATAAATCATAAGCCCATACATTATGTCCCGCTGGTGAGGGAACAAAGGTTCAAAAAGCATTGTTGATTCTAGTGGTAGAAAAAAGGCAAATAGGGGCATCATCTTTTGATGGTGGTAATTGGTTGTCACCGATTGGGCCGGTTAAGATGACAGTTGTCAATGGCAAAAGGCAGGAATCGAATAATTACCAGATTGTGAAATGTCACTCCCAGTGACCTTCCACGTAATCGTGGCTAAGGGCCGCACCAGTCACCAGTCAACACGGCCACCACCACCTAAACACTACCTTTTGCTCTAAGAAATAGCAAGAGGGCAGCTGTACACTGCCTTTGTCAACCTCAACGGTACCATATTATTTTATYTTCCACATTTTTTCTTCACACGTGTTTCTAATTCTTACCCTATCTTTCTTCTCTCTTCCTGGTTAAGTTTTGTTACTTCAATCTTGTGATCCCTAATCTAATCTGTCATAACCTCTAGCATTGTAGACTCTAGTTGTACACTAGCTCACACAATCTCTCATAAATTTTATTAAATATTTATTTTCTAAAATACAAASACCATATTCACATCTTCGGGACAAAAGATCATCAAAGTTCTTCTCAAATAGTTGTTTACCCACCCACTTATTTCATTACGAGCGGACTTTTATTTAAGTTAACTTTTCTTATTTAGGAACCATCATGATTCGCCTKTTGATCCAAAAAGTCAAGATATATTCTAAAGAATTTAGAAGAAATGKGTTCAAATTAAATACCTATGATTTAATATTCTATGAACTTTCTTGACACCCAAATATAACACGACAGTTTTCCTGTGTATWGTACAATTAATCGAAATGTGCACAAATTGGATCGAACACTTACAATTATTAGAAAAAAAAAAATTCTTATTTTAGTACATACCCATTTGTCTAATAAAGTTAAATAACTGATTATATTGGAAGATGACTACCCAAACCGCACTGCTAAATAATTGGAGCTCACCATTTTGTTTCGTATTCGAGAATTTATCTTTAATTCCAAAATCTTAYGTCTCAAAGGCTCAACCCTCCTTTTGTTCRGCTCCTCAGAATTTTATCTACAGAGTTAACTTTAGGGCAACTGACATCTCATTGAATCTGTACAATAATATCTACAATGATATAATATTGTCTAACTTTTAACTTTGATCATTTTGCTTTTAAATGTTATGCAAAAACCTCCATTCTAATTGAAAATATAGTATAAAATCTTTCCCACTTCTAACTAGCTTGAGACCATGTTTGCACTCTCAACAATTTCTTCCTCCACCAAGTATTAAATAAAACTAATCTACTTTTGCAAGATTTCCTCTCACAAGGACGAATTTCATTCAGTCAAAATATTAAAAATCACAGAAAAGTCAATTCTAAATAAAATGGATGTCACGACAGTATGACACTCATTTATCTTATGGTCATAACTTTATTCACATGTATCAAATTGTTGAAAGGAATAGCAATAATAACATTCCAATATGCTATAAAGAAGTACCTGATGTCCATGTCGCGGATAGCTCTACACGTCCTCCATTAGATTGCATAATTTATTTCTTCCATAATATTTCAATGACCATCTTGTATATAACTTCATTCTTCTGCCTAATGGTGTGGTTAATTCTATAGTTAGTATCAAAGTTCTTCGTTTTCTAACTTTGCTTTCAGAAGAATTGAGGAATAGGGAGCCAAATTATAGGTGCTTCCAACGCTTGGAATGCCATCCACCACAAAATCATCAGGAGACTCGAGGTTGGTATCCACCTGCATTAGAAACGAAGAGCCACAAATATGATACAAGCCGCGGCAAAGAATTCATTTACGAACATGGATAGAAAAATGTGCATTAAAATGTGAATATAAGTTCTTGGAAGGACGTGCAGTATTCTGAGACTTGAATTGTAAAGATGTGTGGAATTGGTCAGCTTTTCCATGTTATGGAGAAGTAAGAATTGCTAATAACAAAATGGTAAGTGAGAAACTAACCACACGAAACCATCTTCGCTTTGTCGGAGGAGAGGGTAATGAAACATCGACGTAATAATGATGAGCATTGAAGGCCAAGTAAACATCTTCTCCATTATCATCATGAAGCCTGTATGGAGAAAGTTCTTAGAAGTAAATACTTGGATAAGAAACRATTCATTAATAAAGAACAAAAGAATAGCCTATGGACAGAGGCCGAGACAGTCCCTTTACAAAATAATTTCGTATTCCTTAGACACTACCATGAGGTTAAAACATGAACACTTGTTACAAAATGAATCCCAAGACTTAGCTTTGTCTTTAAAAGAACGAGAGTTCCTTTCCAACCAAACATTCCACAGTAAAGCTCTAGAAGCACAGCTCCACAAAGCTTTAGTCTTTCCTTTGAGATGCCACTCGTGAAAGCATTCTAAAATTCAACCATTAAATACTAGTAATTTTCAAAACCCATAGGGATAAGTTTGCATAACCAATATTGTGCACATCTACTTTACCCGATGGGTCCCAGGAAGATAGTCTAAACGGCACATAAAATTTCATGGACTTGTCCCTAGTTAATCGAATATATATTTGTATATCTCATAAACCTGTACTGCTATCGGGCATACCTCTGACATCGAACTGTCTCATTTTCTCTCCTTATCCATTTTTGTTCCTTTGGGAGAGGAGATAACAAGTGCAGATCATAGAGTATGAAAAAATTACAAGTAAACCCAAACGCTAAATAACAGAGAAGATGGTAGTGACCAGAACTCAATCCTCCTATACTACCAAAGGCCCGGGGGCTATTCACTAAAAGCTACAACACTATCTTAGAACGAACAACAAAAAGACAAGTTTATGTTTGATCTCTATGGTAGGTAAAATGCAATCAAGGTACATTATATTAGCTGCTTAATACAAACAATATGTGTTGGCAATGTGCAGATTTTAGTACTGATTCAATAATCAAATCAACATCAAATGCTGAAAATTTGATTCCTCGTGCATAATGGACTTGGCAAAAAAAAAAAAAAAACATGAATTTTCAAGTTTTGTAGAATTTAAAGAGTGCTTACGTGTATGCAAGAAATTTACTGTCAGGATTGTCCCAATTGCTTTCATGCCAAGTAATATCATCCTGCAATGAAATACTGTCAATCCTAGGAGGAACGCATTCTGAAGGTGAATAAAAGTGAAGAGAAACCACCTTGTGGAGAAAATTTTCCCGGCAGAAGATTTGGGGATGCTCCCTCCTAAACTTTATCACTTCAGAGAAAAATCTGAAGTGATCCCTCTTCCGGGCCTCTAACTACAGACCAAAAAGATAAATAATTGATATATGAATTTAGATTATACGAGGGCCAAGAAAGGTCAGCGGCAAAACAAGGACCTGTCCCCACTGGAAATGGTTAATAGCTGTATCATGTCCATAGCTATTGTTATTGCCATAACGAGTATGCCCATATTCATCCCCCATTAACATCATTGGTGTTCCCTGAAAATATGCAATCAGAAACTTACATTGTTCTTCATAAATTTCAACCAGCTAAGGCCCATGTCCCAATAATAGTGAAGATATAACTACCCAACTCCAGGGCCGAGTAAGGGATAATAAGAAAAAGGACATGCCACCAGGGATAAAAAGCATCACTTCGATGAACAAAAACAACTCCAAAACCCATTACTGCTAGGTGTGGAAAAAAGAGTTTTCTACTCGATCGAACTTCCAAAAAAGAAAAGAAACAAACAAACAAACTACGAAAAAACAACCAGATCTCTATATTTTGAAGCATAGCATATCTAGTAGTGGCAAACAAAATGATACAGAATTTAAGAGCATCTTGGTTGGGGGAAAGGTTTTGGATATATTGTACCTGAGACGTCATTAAAGCCAAATGGAAGTTTTTCATTTGCCTTGAGCGCAAAGCTTTAATGCTTGTATCTTCGGTTTCTCCTGTCAAAAAATAGACATTGAAAAATAAAAAATTGCATAAATAAGAGTCCTAGAAAGGTGAATGTGTTTTCTTGGATTCTTCTTCATGGGAAGCTTAATACTGCAGAAGTTCTTCAGAAAAAGCTTCCTTCTTCTGCATTACTACCGTCTATTTGTGTCCTTTATAAGGAAAATGGGGAAGATTTGAATCATATTTTTTTCCATTGCTCCTTTGCTGCTGCTGGGTGGTTTTCTCTGTTTTCTCAATTTGGTGTTGATTGGGTTTTGGATTACAAGGCAGAAGCCAATTTGGTCCAATTGTTATGTGGATTTCATCATCCTTACTCCATGGCGCGGGCTTTGTGGATCAATGTTGTGAAAGGTTTTCTTTATGAATTGTGGTTCGAGAGGAATTTGAGGATCTTCGAAGGAAAACATAGATTCATGCTTGAATGTCTCAATTCTGCTAAGTTCAAGGCTTCTCATTGTGGATTCATTTTCTAGCTATTCTCCTGTTCTTATTTTCAACAATTGGAGCGCTTTTATTAGTCCTTTGTAGTTCCTTGTTTTTACTTTATGTTTTTATTTAATGCTTTTCTTTCCACTCTTTCGAGAGTTTGTATCTTTTAACATTTTATTACTTTTCATATCTTCAATGAAAAGTTAGTATCTTGTTAAAAAAAAAAAAAAAATTCATTGGTCTCTCTATGACCACAAGACCAACCAACTCATCAACCCACTATCCTTACTAATGAGAAACATACCCTTCTAATATTCTAATCATATCATTAATATTTCCCGACTAATATATCTAAGAAACATACTAGCTTGAAGCTCTTCTTGTGAAACTCATAAATGGCACAGGAATTTCCTTGATAAACTCTATTAATGTCCAAATCTAATGTTTACAGAGGGAATTTCAAAAAACTTGTTGGAAATCTCATCTATCGTAATCACAGTAACAAAAGCTAACATATGAAAGTTAAACAGTTGTTATAATTTATAAATGTTGTTTTTAAGGTTTATACCCAAAGTAGCCAGCTAACAGAAAGACGAATGGAATAAAGAGAACGCTGAAATTCATTTTATGTATTTAGAGCAAAACAACATTGCAATTTTCGATAAGAATGTTGAAGATGCACCGTTTAATCAGCCCATTTCATTTGGGCTCTCTAATTTATTTTTCTTCTCATCCTCACTCAGAAAAGGCCCATGTTGGGTCTGTTCTTTATCCTTTTATCCTATTCATTCTGGTAAAAAACATCAAACAAATTGATAGTATTTACGAGTAGTACTGAAACAAAGCAATGTTACATTGAAACTCAACTGACTAATTAGAAATACGCTAATAGAATACTTGCGAACGGTTGCACCTACCTTCAAAACCACAATTCCAGCTGAAGTTATCATTGCTTCCATCATTTCCGCCTTCTCCGTTGGCATCATTGTGCTACACAAACGAGAAAATAAAGTCAGACAACAAATTTAGAGGATGAATTCAAAAGAAAATTGGCATATGAAAACTATACATACCTTAACATTGTAAGAAACTAGATCACGAAGTGTAAATCCATCATGAGCAATAACGAAGTTAATACCATGATAAGGCTTACGCTTATTCACCTGTAGAACAAGTCAAAAGCCTAAACACGATATTTCAAGGAGCTTGTATACATCTATTTATGTAATAAGATAGAAGTTAAATATTAATAATTGTGAAGATACAGAATGATCTACACATAAGAACCGATATTTTACTGCAGGGACACGACCAAGGGTCCAAGGGCTTAGGAAACAATCCACGCCATAATTCCATATCACAACATAAAACATATGAAGGTGTGTGTAACAAGAAACTTTAATGTTTGTCTCTAATCAAAGTAATGTATTTGAATCAATTCTCACCAAGAATGACACAAAAGAAACACTGAAACTTACTTTGTAAAGATCAGAAGACCCAGCAACACGAGTTGCAAAGCTTCCTTTCATGCCACAGTCGCCCTAAAATTGGAAAATGTATAAAAAACATTATCAAGGTATGCATATGCGAGTATGACCACAAGGAAAAGTCATCAACAAATGGTAGCAACCCATTCTTCCCCTCTTCCATGTCCTCTTAAACTGGAATCAAGGGAGAGCATAAAAAAGAGGGAAGAGTCATCAACAAATCTGCCCCCTCCATGTTCTCAGTTATTAGAAAAGTAAAGACCCTACAATTACATGATTCTCTAATGGCATCAGAAACTTAATATAGAAGTAACYGAGCGTTGGGAAGTATTTTTCAATATTCTAAACACTTCTAAATTTTAATGATTTTTGTTTATGTATCAAAAGGTATTTTAAAAAGTTAATAAATATTTGCACCTTAAAAGCAAGTACTTAACCTGTGTTTTTTCACCCGTATTTGGTTTTAAAATTATTACTCAAGAAGCACTCTCTTATAAAATAAAAAACTTACTCCCCTAGGAGCACTAACTATTAGTTCCAATATAGTCTTTCCAATCAAGCACGAATGTGAAAGAAATAATTAAGACAGCAAGAAATTAAGAAAAAAAACATAACAGAAAATTTAGATGGGCGACATCTAATTCTCAGAAATTCTACGATCAAGACAACTACCTGCAGCTCCAATTGAAATCCACTGAGAAGTAATTGAACATTTATAGAAAGCTAATGCACGCTGACAAACACTGTGACATAAGGGGTTTCAATTGGGTGATCTAATGTGTCACTTGTGTAAAGGTAAAATTTATACAAGACAGTATAATAAACTGCATAAGAAGGTGGGTCCTTGTAAGATACTTCAAAGAATTGGTCCAAACGCCTATAGAGTACACTGTACAGTTACCAGCTGGCTTTCACATATCCCATATCCACTATCCAGTGTGGCTAGCATTCGAGTACTATCCTTCAAATAGTTTTCAATTAGCAACCTAGACTCAGAGACAAGTTTTTAAAGAGAAGGAATTTGGGGTACCATATTATGTATGGGCTGCTGTTGGTTACTTATTGATGTAATTAGTTACTGAATATTCTATTGAGGTTTTTACCGTTAGTTAATCACCCAATTATGGCCTCCTTCACTCGTAAATATGGAACGTTAATCAGACTAATAAAATTTGTTATTTGTTGTAAGTTTCCACCACTAATTTAGTAGTTACTGGGGTTTATGAAGATTTTCCTGAACTTAATATGTACCAGCTACTCATAAATGAGCTACAATCTCCAAAAATCAGAGAATCCATTACAGAAAAATACTTTATAATTATACATTTAGTAAGAACTTCCTAATTATTGTAGATGACATTACTGCCCAAATGCTGAAATCCAACATTATATAAAGATCAATAGCCTCAAATTCAAGAAAATAATATAATTGTGAAAAAAAAAATCCTTTCCATGTTTGCTTATTTGATCCAATATTGACTCACATGTCAGGAGAAAGAAAGAAASAAACAAACAAAAACTTTATTCCCACACAAAATTACCTTAATAAATTTTCTAACGTCGTCACGGTATATTCCGTTCCACTCAGCCCACCTGCATGAATGAATGTAAGAAAGACGGATTACTGCTTTGATAGAGAATAGAAAAGGAAAGAAAACCATCGTGCAAACCCCAAAGTAAAAACACTTGGTGTCCATTCATAACGATTAAACTTACCCTACAAAACCAATTTCATAAAATGTAAAACTAACTATATGTACAATCAAGAAAATGTTTATAAACAGCCWGTTGCAGAGGAGTTGACTAGACTTTAAAAGAGAACTTAAAAATTTGGGGCCAAAAAGCCAGATGCTCAACGAAATATACAATAAGAGAAGGAATAGGAACATATTGTATTTCATGCAGAACACAATATGTCAATTATTTTATGTTAACTCATCCCCCACATGTTAAAATATCACAAATTTTAAAAACTSAGATTAGTGGTAATCTAAAAAAGAATATATCAGAACTCAAAATAGATAACGCAGAGGGAAAGAGATAGCTACCGATCCCAATTTGGAAATCTACCAACAAGATAAAGACCTCCACAATCCCAAGGTTCTGCAATTATTTTACACCTTGATAGAATAGCATCTTTCGAAATTTCCTGAACCAACAAAAGATATAAATCTTGTGCCATATCTTCCGACTTGTGCTGAAATCAAATTAATCTAACAAGAGGAAAATATCTATGGAAGAAATGAAGATGGCTAAACTTAACACCAAACATGCAGTTAATTAGATTAAAAGATTCACAAGTAGACCCGACATTAACAACCTTACTTGAACGAGATTGGTTCTATAGGTTGTAACAACTGTGTCCTTCAGTTCTAGGTAGACCCATCATTAAGTTCAACAATTACGAATTTTCAATGGCAACACACAGATAGATCAACTATCTCAAGGAAGAGGAAAAACAGAAAATGCAAAATGACTTGACACTGAAGAAATTAATATATTTAGGAACTTCAGAACTACAGAAGAATAAAAAAATTTGTGGATAAAAAATAGCAGTATGAAGGCCTCTGTACCAATGACGGCACTCATGTGGAATTATGACAATAAAAGATTGTGCATTCTTTTCTTATTTATAAGACAATAGAATGGACAAGTAATTAGAGAAAGGTGCACGCAAAATCACAGGACTGAAATTCTAAAAAATAAAATTTGCATAATCAAAATATAGGAATAGAAAAGAAAAAAAAAAGATAGCAAGATGAATACAATCCCAAGTAATTCAATTAATTTAAATGCAACCCTCCTGGAGCAAGCTCAAACCAAATAGTCACAAAATTATCAATCTTTCTTACCAGCTGGACCCCGTTTCTCTATTTATATCTAGTGTTCTCTATCAAACTCTTAGCAAATGCAGGCTTAATACACTATCCCTACTTTGTCTTTGACAATACAACCTTTCCTGCTAGACCTATCATCACAAAAAATAGAAAATAAAAAGACTGCTTAAAGATCCAGAAAGAAGTTATATTGGAACTTCAACCAAACTGCAGCAATGAATTCCCCACTTATGAAAAAAATTGTTTTGTACTTCCCGGATGCAGAATAAGATGCCAAAAGAGAAAAATTCAAACACAACTTCTTCCTCTTATTTCTCCTTTAAAAGTTGGAATCTTACAAAACATGATAAATACTGTGGTATAAATTATAAAATGATATATAATATACAATTTCCAAAACGTAATCTATGTAAAGAGGTGCAATTCATCTCTTATTCTAGTCCAAGTCAACTACTCTGAATGGGTTTTGAAGATAGTACGATTCAAAGGAGCAGAAGTTAAGCAAACCATTGAAATCTAACTCTCCAATTTTTTTCTTGTTTCCAAGTAAACCTGTAAAAGGGCTTGATAAACTCCAAGCTTAGGTCGACATAACTGTAGGATTCATGCCTGTAGGCTGTAGGTAAACAGAAAATCACGTACACAAATTTACATACCCTTATGAGTGGAGGAGCACTAAGTGGAGCACCATCAGTTCCCCGGCAAAGAGTACTAGCAAGATCAAATCTAAAACCATCTACATGATATTCAACTACCCTGAAATTGAGTGTCAGGAAAGGATAAAATGCAGGAAAAAAAAAAAAAAAGACAAGAGCAGGAGTAGCATATATACACGAAATAGGAACTAAAAATAGAGTGAGATAAACAAATATGAAGCTCAGTTACAACATACATCTACAACTCCTTTCTTTATTATTATTATTATTATTATTATTATTTTGATACCCCAAAGGCCTGGACATCAAGGGTTTTTGATAATTATATTATTATTATTATTTCTTTTCTTTTTAAGCACATCAAATCCTGAGAAGCAGCACCAGCTTTGCATCAATAACGTATTTCAATTTCGAGCAGCTAAAAGTGGACTACGTACATGATACAATCTGACATAAAATTACATATTCAAAACTGCAAGGTGCCTATATGAGGACAGTTATATGAATAAAATATCMGATTATTCGTCAATCTTTTAGTCAAAGAACAAAAGCAAGATAGAAAGAAGCTTGGGACATCAGGATAAAAACAAGTCTCTCTTCAATCTGTTATTGCTCGTTAATATTGAAAGTTATGCTTACAGAATCGTATTTACAGAAAATGGAAAAACATATCTCACAGCTGAAAAAGCTCATATATATCAATTTCTTGCAATATGTTCCTAATCAAGAAAATGTAACTAATTCTATCTGAAAAATTAAAGCACGCAAAAGCAATGCTTTCATCATCAAGTTGCGYATGAAGTCCATACCAGTGTCTTAAGCTGTCAAGAACTAGTTCCATGACCACAGGATGGTTACAGTTTAAGGTGTTTCCTGCAAAAAAGAAAATTGAGCAACTCAAGACTACTCGGAAGGTTGTTGAATTTCAAACAAATGATATTTATCTCAATGGGGTTTTTTTCCCACTCCCAAATGGAGTTTGTTTCTTTGAACATGTTGTAACCTATGGTTGAAAAGTTTGTTTGTTGTTTAAAAAGAAAGTGCCACCTCCTTATGGGGCCAAAATCCAACAATTACAACTTGAATACTTGAAAATATATAATATATTTTAATTATATWTTTTTTTATTGAATCGAGATTTTTTTTTTTTGGTTAACAAGAGAAAAGAGCTTGTATTATCAAAAAAGTGCAAACAGCCTAAGGGCTTGAAGTAGAGAAAACCGAAAACCGGCCCGCACATAAAACTACATAATAGCCTTCCAATCATACAAAATCACAGGGAGGCTATAATTAAAAAAAAAAAGAAAGAAAGAAAGAAAGAAAGAAAAGATCTTGAACACCACCAAAAAGAAGTATACTATAGATTGCCCCAAAAAATATCCTCTGTAGCAACACAATCTGCAAAAATCCTTTGGTTCCTCTCCTTCCTTAACAGCAAAAGAAACACTCTAACAGCACAATCCATAAGACCTTGACTCTATTTCTAAGCCTAACTCTTTCTTTTGAACAAGAAACGAGAACTTTCATTGACGTACGAAAATCAAAAGAAGTTATAAAGGATAACAAGTAGAGAACTAAGCCTAACTCTTGATAGACATTCCACACTCCAATCTTCAATCTGATATGGAAGACAAACCGATAGGCCAAACTCATTAAGCAAACGCAACCGCCAATTTAAAGCAAAAGAACAATGGAGAAAAAGGTGGTCTAAGGATTCATCACTCTTCAAACCAGACCGTGGGAGATAGAATCTAGTTATGTAATTTCCTTTGAAGCTTGTCCCCGTGTTAATGCTTCTAGAGCCCATAGGAAAAATTTTACTTTTTGGGGGACCTTAAACTTCTCAATCATATTCACCAAAGGAGACTTCAATCTATTGTTAGAATTAAAAAGGTGGAGAAAAGCTATTTCGGACGAGAAACAACCTAAGGGATCAATACACCAGTGCAAACTGTTTTTGCCCTCTCCCAATCTAGTGGAGTCTTATCTTCTCAGTGAAGGCAATCCAACTACCAATATTCCTATCAAAAACACCTCTTCTCAAGCCCAAATGGTTGGCTAGGCAGTTACTTGCCTAAACGGTCACGGATAACTACAGAATAACAATCAATATATCCTACTCATCTATCAGCATTAATACCAGGCCGGTATGAAAAGTAATCCTAAATCTCCTCCTTGAGCTAAGTAGATAAGGTAATAGTGCATAAACGTCAGAAAAATTGGCAACATAAAARGTTGGGTTAATTCAGTGATCAGTAGGAAGCTCCATAATGTATGCATTAAGTACACTTTTCCGAACACAATAGAKCTACCTTGTAGCAACCTAGATAGTGCCCAAGCTAACATAAGTTCCGCAGGGACCATGCTGTGCCATAACCAACATGAAGTTAAACTCTCTCTAATTTCACATTTGAACCTTTTTCCAATTAAACGTCTAGAGAAAATTTCCCGTAATTCATATCCGTCGCTGAAAATATTTTACTTCATAGGTAGAAAATTAGGGCCCATCATATATGAAGAAATATGATAGTGCTAACTAAAAGGACTAGGAAATAATTATTAACTTTAACTGCCTCTCCTGCATCTCTTCCTAACTGCTCCGTCCCCCATGGCCCCTTGTTTACCTATCAGTCTTACATGATGATTTGATAAACTCTGGTCATCAGTTCTCCAAGCATAAGTGAAGTGCTGCAAGGCCTGGGCCTAGCATTATTCATGAGTGAAAACTTGAAGAAAGCTACTAGAGCTATGTTCAAAACTAAACTTAGAGATGCAAATTGAAGAAACAGAGTTATGCATCAGTGCAAAGCTTCTGTTAGTATAATAAGCATAATCCCAAGAAAAAATATTTACCACAGCCAGAAAAGTTCAGCAGTTGACCATTATTCTTTAGGTCCAACATGTAATAGACCTGCAGAAGAAATTTATGAGAAATTTAGAAAATTCCAACAGAAAATTTTGACACAGACCGAATTCAAAAAACAATGCAAAGACAGTAAGCCTGCCAGAAAGAATCACATTGGAATTTTTTTCCTTAATTACCAATTAAAGAAAGAATAAAGATAGATTACATGTGGAATTGAAAAGTCCATTTATTTTTCTGACTAGAAATACATATCGACACAAAAACTTACTTAAAGAGTTGAGTACAACACCTTATTATCAATGCCACGAAATGAAGTGGTATAAGGGTTTGCATCATCAGCCTCGTTGGTATGGTTGTACACAACATCCAAAATGACCTGTAATAAGAAAAAAAAACTCACTCCGGAATGAAATAGAGATAAAAATAAATCAGGGAAAGTTACTGCCAACAAAGTGGCCGAGAATGGAATCAAATGTAAAATCCCACCTATGTGTACATTAAATACATGATTTACCTCTATCCCAGCAGCATGCAAGGCTTTAACCATTTCTTTAAATTCCTGCGAAGCATTAAGAGGTCCTCCACCAGCACTAGCATATCGACTCATTGGAGCAAAAAAGTTGATTGTGGAGTAACCCCACGTATTGATCTTGAAGTAAAAGTAGGCATACAGGCCAAGTTAAAGAGAGTGTGAAGACGGAGTATAAAGCTCACTTCAATACAAGAATAAACACAAATTATAATTAAAAATGTATTGATCAACATACTTCTATAGAATAAAATTKATTCGAGTACCTTTTTTGAGTTCTTGATTATCATCACAAACAAAGAAGTATGGGTAGATAGAGACATGATGGTAAACTTCGATTGAAATCTTTTTTTACCATAATTTATATAGAATCATCAAAATATGTAGATATTTCCTTTATTTAAATGGCCATGGCCCCACCGCACAAAGACAAGAGAGGAACCAATCATTTTAGGCGTTTTGGTATCATAATTTGCAAGTTAATGAGAAATTTATCTTTTTAGTTACTGTAGGGGTTAAATTAAAAATCAATATGAACTTCAATAAAATTTTCTTTTACTAAAATTTATCTAAAAATCATCATTCATAGCACGTAGATTCTCTTTATCTATGTAGCCATGACCCCCAAAATACCAAAGAAGAACCAACTTTTCAGGCTTTTGGGTATGAGAGTAGACTGCACCAATTCAGAAGGAAGAATCTGATATAAGATTTCTGATCTAGGTATTTCAAATCAAAGACAATGATGGCTTTCAGTAATCAACAATAATGGAGAATCAAGTTATTGCATAAAATTTACCATATGATCTCTGGGGTTTGAACGCCTCTGAAACTCTAACTCATCAAACTCGAAGACAGGCAATAATTCAACTGCATTGACACCGAGCTCTAGCAGATGTGGAATCTTAAAAATTCGAAAGGTAAGAGATTTAATATATAAATCTACATAAAGAATGGAAATCTCTAGAGGCAAAGAAAAAAGAAAACTACTTGTAAATTTCCAAAGCATCAAATGGAAAATGTAACATTTCCTCTGTAGAGCCAGGATCTTACTATATTGTTAGCTAAAGGCAATTATTAATACAGCGTAATTTTCTGTTGGCAATGATTTATAAACAAGCAATGGGAGAAACTATTTCATTGTTACTCTTCAATGAAGAAGTGTTTGCAGCCTAGGTTTATATATAACAGAACACACAAGAAAAAATAACCAAAAAGGGCTAGTATATTCTGCCACCTAGAGAAAAAGTTAAAATGTAAAAAACTGTATCGGCCAAAATAAGTCGACTACACCAAGCTAGAGCTAAAAGAAGACAAAATATAAACAATATAAGTAGGCATTTTTACAAAAGAAAAGAACAATTCTCCCATAAGGAACTGATATTCTGACAAATTTCTAAGATACCTAATAGTGCTCAATTATTTATCACCAAAAAGGAACAAAATTCCAAAGCACCCATAATCCTGGTTTTTCTTTTTTTGGCTTGAAGAAAAAATTTAGAAGCCTAAAAGGAACGAAATTTCAAAGCACCCATAATCTACGTTAACTCTGATGATAAAGTTAAAACAGACAGATGTCTTAGCGTGCTAAATCTTATTTTCATAGTATGCCATAACGATAACTCCTCCCATCCCAAGCAGGGTGGAAAGGAAGATTGATCTACAACGTTAACGATAGAATTCATCTACATTTTAAAAACTTCTATAATGTTATATGCACAGCAATCTTTCATTCCCTAAGTTATAGTCAGATATCTAAAGATATGATCATTTGTATAATAGAGAATACGATGCAGTAAATCATAACATCATTGCTAAGCTGTCTATGATACAAGTAGAATTCATGTATGCGCCATAAATCATACTTTGGGTTCTTGCTAAATGAAAAAATTTTGATGTCCCACAAGGCGGATAAAAAGAAAAGCATGGACAATCCCAGCGCTCTGCTTTAACAATATAATCTCTACCTTCTCAATAACACCCAGGTAACTGCCCCGTGTGCTTGAAGCCAGGCCACTAGATTCATCAGCTGTGAATGAGCGGACATTCATTTCATATATTACAAGATCTTTCTGCAAATAAGTCCGGAAATACATAGTATGTCAAAGTGTAAAACATAAATACGAATATTCTAAAGAAAAAATTAAATCCATGTTGGAGAAGCAATGAAAGACTTCACATGCGGTAAAACTTATTTGACAAAGCTAACAAAGAAACAAACTAGTTTTCATTGTCACAAATGAAAATACAAAAGGATACGAAAAATAATAACAACTTATGCCAAAAGTCTACTATATCATAGACTACAGATCAGTTGCATAATAGAAGACACAAAAGGTGGTTCGAGTCCTCTGAAAACTAAAAAGGTACACGATTGGCGGAAAGGACAAAAGCTAAGCTCTCCAAATGAACTCTGTGGTGTTAGTCTTAAGCAAAGTCAGCCCAGTTCTCAAATCTAACCTTGTCGCAATTTAGTTGGGAAAAGAAAAGCCAACATGTATCCTCTCCCTTAATCTGTCTTATATTTTACAACGATGGTATGACGAATGAGTTCATGCATTTACTCATGTAAAATATACATGTTTGTTCATGCATTTATTCATGTAAAATATACATCCTAAACATTTARAAGATATAMTTATATACATAATTGTGAATGCACCTCAAAATTATTCTAGCAACAGATAAGAAATTTTTACCTCTAAGATATTAGGAAGCTTATAGTCATCTCCCCAGTCAAAAGGCATGCTACCAAAATCATAAGTCCCAAGAAAGCCAGATGCCTTATTTTCACCCCCAAAATATCGGCGACCTTCAACGAACTTTGCATAAGGATCTAAAAGAACGATCCTATCATCAAATCTATGCCCATGATGCCAACCTTGAGGACCATCAATCCTATAACCATATAGGACATTTCTCCGAGGTAAATCCTGCTCAAAGAGCAGTATCAAAATTATAAAATACAAGCTTCAATCATTTTCTTTTACATGTATACCAAACAAAAAAAGGAGTCAAGCTCAAACAAAGGTCTAGGGGGATCTATCTAACTAACCAAGATCACAACGAAAAGAAAATGACAGATTCTTTGTTGCTAGGTAACCAAAGAAAAGCGTTGAGATGCACGCACTCTAAATCTCATGTCACTTACTTAAGACATACTTTAAAGAAGTTCTCACTCATTCTCCAGATTGCCCCCAACCCCCACAATAAAAAACAAAAAGGAAAACTGGTGCATGCGTCCAGGTCAATGTGCATGTGCGTATCTGTGTTTCAAGTACTACCTATTCTATGGAACTCTTTTTGTCCAAAGAGAGTTAATTTCATGGTTTGGATTCTTCTAATGGGCAAAGTTAACACTTCAGAGACATTACAAAAGAAAATGCCCAATTCTTTGATGCAGCCACTTGGGAGTAGAAATGCCATCATGTTGTTTACTGTGCAAAGCCATCATGTTGTTTACTGTGCAAAGCAAGTGGGGAAACCCAAAGACATGTCTTCTTCTCATGTAGCTATGCAGTGGTCTGTTGGAAAAAATTCCTATCTATGTTTGGAGTTTCATGGGTGTGGGATCTGGAGGCGCCTCAAGTCATTTTTCAGCTTTTCAGTGGACTGCAAGCAAGCTCTAAAACTAATCTGCTTTGGGCTTTTGGAATAAAAGCTCTTCTTTCCGAATTATGGTTTGAGAGAAATCAACGAATATTTGAAGGCAAGAATCGATCTCCTATGGAG